GCGTGAGGCGAGTTCTCGGATTGAAGCTAACTACCACAGAAACTAATCTTTGCAGTCGGAAGCAGCGACGACGATGGACGCGCGATCAGCTGCAGCGCTTGAGATTCACGCGCTGTCTTCGGTAGAGATATCTAAGTGGTATAGTTGTACACCATTAGTCCTTATGACCTAGACATCACCGTGACTTCACTAGAGGACCAGCTATATTCTGACCTGTACCTGAGTTCCACCGAGGACCGCCCCAAGGGCCAGTGTTCGTGCAGTCCGAAATCTAGTGGGAGGTATGTGCATTGTAGTCGGGGATTCGATCACTAGAATAGTCTTGGATGTCCTGTGTGTTCTCATAGTTTGTAATCACTAAGTCTCTGGCCAGAGCTGACTAAAGTGATGATTAGAGAATTCGATTCTCTAAGTCATGCACGTACCGATTACAACACTTAGAACGATCGCACAGTTATTGAACTACTAAGGTGGTCTCGATGAACCAATGCCTCAAGTTCAATCGGGACATATGAATCGAAGGGATCGTACTGTACGTTAACTATATCAAATGGTTCTTGCAGGCACTTCATTTGTATCAAGGGAATCATGACGCGTAGTTGCTAGACGCCAATCTTGATTCATTGGGTGATTAAGTTGAAACGAGCTTCATCTTAATCGTAACTCTAAGGGATGAGTTTAAACCACAAAGGGTTGTGGACCTACGGCTAGCTTACACTTGAACTATCGATGGTCACACTGCTCGTGCACTCGAGACCTTTGAATAAATGGTCAAAGATAAAATTGTTTAATCTTTGCATGATTGGAAGTCAATGTGATTGAGTCCAACATTCGTAATATGGAATTATGAATAAGAATAAGAAAAGGAAAAGAATAGGCGAACATCTTAGTGAACTTTCTAAATTGGGAAGTTTCCAAATTTAGAAGGTCCACTGAATTAGGGTTTCCACTTTTAGAAATTGGAAATCGAGAATTGGCACTCGTAATGACGAGGATGTACAATGATTCCGAAAATGTAATTTACAATTTTCCGATAATTGAGTTGTGAGAAACGAGCGAGTAAAGAACTAACGAACTTAAGCTGTTGGGCCCGGTTCAACTTAAGCCCGTTAGGGCTTTTATACAAGACACTATAGATATATGATTTATAGGTCTTGTACAACATACAACATACAACACACTAGAGAAAACCCTAGCCTCTCTCTCATAACCCTCGGCCGATCCCCCCCCCCCCCCGCGCGCCACCGCGGCCATCGCCGCCGTCGTCGGAATCGGCCTCACGCGCCGATTATACTATTGGTAGTATTTTCCTTTTGTCTTTTTCTTCCGTTTATTCTGACTTTTATGTGTCTAGTGTATTGGAGATATTAATATTAAATGATACATTTCACTAACAGCTTAAGCTTTTGGTTGAGATGGTCATTCAACATGGTATCAGAGCCAGGCCAAATGAAAGATCCTGAGTTCGAATCCCACAGCCACCCATTTAAAAATATTTCAAGTGCAAGGCCTCAAATGTAATTCGCCTGCACTTGAGAGGGCGTATTGGAGATATTAATATTAAATGATACATTTCACTAACAGCTTAAGCTTTTGGTTGAGATGGTCATTCAACATAGTGCCACATAGTTAGTTGATTTCAGTATACGAGGTGAAATCCGAGAGGAGGAAGACCAATGAGTCAAATCGTCGAGAAGCATCCGCCGAGCAGACGTCGCACGCGCCTTCAAGCGCCGCGTGAAGACAGCGCGTGATCCTCACGTGCCGCCGCTGCCAGCGCGTCCGTCGCCGCCGCTGCTCCCGACTGCACGGATTGGTTTCCGTGGCAGTTTGCTTCGATCCGAGTGCTTGCCTCACGCTTCAAGAGGTAATTTTCGGATCCGATGTTAGTTAGTTATTAATTTACTTAGATTAAATTATATGTTTATATTCGCAGTATGTTTTTCATGAATTGATTTATGTAATTGTTGAATACGAATCGAGCATCTGATTATGTGAATTAAATTGTTTATTTCATATAAAAATTTTGTTTTCTGGTGCGTACACGTGCCCGATTCCCAACAGCAGATTGGTAGCGGACATGAGGAGTGAGCGGCTAGGGTTTGTGTTATGTTCACTTGTGTGTGTACAAGACCTATAAATCTTGTATTTGTAGTGTTTTGTATAAAAGCCCTAACGGGCTTAAGTTGGACCGGGCCCAACAACTTAAGTTCGCTAGTCTTTCTTCGCTCGTTTCTCATAACTCAGGGATTGGAAAATCATAACAATGATATTTTCGTAATCTTTGAAATGTCCTCGTCATTACGAATGCCAATTCTAGATTTCCAATTTCTAAAACAGGAAACCCTAATTCCTGCTAAATTTGGAAACTTCCCAATTTAGACAGTTCACTAAGATGTTCGCCTAGTTCTTTCCTTTTCTTATTCTTATTCGTAATTCTCAATTACGAATGTTGGACGCAATCATATTGACTTCCAATTATGCAAAGATTAAACATTTTTATCTTTGGCCGTTTATTCAAAGAACTCGAGTGCACGAGCAGTGTGACCCTCGATGGTTCAGGTGTAAGCTAGCCGTGGGTCCACAACTCTTTGCGGTTTAAACTCGTCCCTAGAGTTATAATTAAGATGACGCTCATTTCAACTTAATCACCCAAAAAATCAAGATTGGCGTCTAGAAACTTCACGACCACGTCATGATTCCCTAGATACAAATGAAGTGCATGCAAGAACCGTGGAATATAGTTAACGTACAGTACGATCCCTTCGATTCATATTTCCCGATTGAACTAGAGGCATTGGTTCATCGAGACCTCCTTTGTAGTTCAATAACTGTGCAATCGTTCTAAGTGTTGTAATATGTACGTGCATGACTTAGAGAATCGAATTCCCTAATCATCACTTAGTCAGCTCTGGCCAGAGAATTAAAGATTACGAACTATAAGAACACATAGGACATCCAAGACTATTCTAGCGATCGAATCCCCGACTACAATGCACAGACCTCCCACTAGATTTCGGACTGCACGAACACTGGCCCTTGGGGCGGTCCTCGGTGGAACTCATGGACATGTCACGATACAGCTGGTCCTCTAGTGAATTCACGGTGATGTCTAGGTCTTAAGGACTAATGGTGTACAACGATATCATAGAGATCTCTACTCGATTATTGAGAACCACTTACAGTATTCTAGGATGAGGGAGTTCAGTGAACTCGTCAACTTACGAGCACCCACTTATGCATGCAGATATCACAATACCGTTTACTGATGAGACGCAGTACACGTACACTAAGTGCTAGTCTCTTAATGGGAAAGGCCGATATCCTCACTGGTGGCGTAACCCTTCGACTAGAAACACAGTTTAACAGTTATAATACTTAAGTAAATATCTCACGATCCTAAAAGATCAATTATAAGTAATTGTTATAACCGTAAGGACTATATCTATGTTTGAACAAGGGACAAAGATATAGAATGCCAAGGTGTTTTATCATTAATACGAAAAATGATTATCTATTACAAGAATAAACAAAAAGATCACAGCCATAAGTTGGCTTGTTGTTCACATACTCTAACATGTCATACTACTAGAGATGAACCGTACACTACAACATTTTGGGGCTTTTACAACGCAATTTTTATCTGACGGTTTCATAACCGTCGTAAAAAAAACGTATTCTTGACGGTTTTATAAGATTCTTAACGCCTAGAAACCGTCAAATATATTGGTTATTTTGACACTTTTTAACCCAATCTCGACGAATTATAAACGTCACATAAAGTTTTATAAAATTGTTACTTTTTATTTTTTATAAAATAAAATTGTTACTTTTTATTTTTTATAAAATAAAATTGCTACTTAAGATTATCCGTTTAATGTTTTATAAAACGGCTAATTAAATGATTTAAATTAAACAACACAATCTTATATTATAAAAAATAAAAAAAAATAAAAATTACTCTCCAGCTGTACACAACGCTATTAGGGCTTTTTCAGCAGTACCACCGTCGGTGCTACAACACCTCCATCGTCACCACCGCTGCAACTGCCTGTGATTGCTGCGGCTGCACTGCGGCCTTTACCACCGTGTAGAGAGTGCTGCGGCCGACGCACAATCGCTTCCACCGACGCACAATCGCTTCCACCGACGCACATCCGCTTCCACTGTCGCACAACCGCTTCCGACGCGCCACTAACCCTACCATTACGAATTGGAGGCATAAATTGGAATGAGGTATGACAAAATTACATATAAATCTCTTCCAATTACGCTTGGTGTTATTTTTTGGCTTGATTGGGTTTTGATATTGTGGGTTTTCTACAAATTATCTGTGGAATTCATTTGGTTCAGAAAAATAGAAAAAACTGTAGTGAAAATACTTGTGAATTTATAGTAATAAGTCAGATAATATATAAATCTCTAAATAAGTTTTTAATTCTAATGTTGATATTTAATTGTACAATCTGCCAGCATATGATTATTATATTTAATTTACTTTTGTAGAACCATTAAATATTTAGAGGTAGAAATTAAAGCATAGTTATATATATATATATATATATATATATATATATATATATATATATATATATAGTTATCTCAAGTGTTTGGTTTCATGCTGATTATTTTTGCATATTTGATGATTAATTCTCTTAATAAGATCTTCATCGGATGATTCAAGATTTTTGAGGTTTTAGATTTTCTGCACATGAATTTTATAAGCTTCAAAAACATGAATTTTGATTATTTTGTTTCTGCTATAAATTCTAATTCGTAAAAAATGTTCTTAAGAAATCTATTTCGTTCACACAGGTTATGAATCATGGAAAGCGCCAACGCAAATTATCTCACAAGGGGATGGAGAATTTGCACCGAGTCTTCAACATATTATTTCTAGTGCTAGTCTTCCATTAAAGTTTTCTGATCATTTAATACATTCAAATGGTCAGCCATCATCATGTCATTCTCATATTCCACTTAATGGTGATGCTAAATTTATGGAGTCTGATAGTGACGCAGATGAGGCTTCATCGATGCCACCTGGTAAAATATTACTTCTTTTAGTTATAATGTTATATTTTTCACTAAAATTTTAATATTTTATCACTTTCAAATATTTAGGAATGAGTGAGAAAACAACAAAAAAGGGTCGAGGTAGAACAAAAATGCTCAAGTCATTGGGTAAGAAATTTTTTGAGATTCAGGTTAATGATCTTAATCAAGCCATAGGAGAGAATGCAGCAAAACTCTCTAGCCAAATGGGCCGTGTAGCAAAGAATGGCAGTCGATTTCCTCTTACGGTTACAAACTGGAGGAAAATTGACAAATATAAAAAGGAAATAACTTGATTGGAGTACAAGGTAATCTTTCTACTCTCAGTACATTATCTTACATTCTCTCTTTGGTTAGTCATCAACACCTTATTTGTTTTTTAATGTTTGATTATAGGCAAACTTCTCGCTTGAAGATAATTTTAAGCATCAGTTCTAAATCGCTTTTCAGATGCAAATGGAAAACGGTGAAGATCCTACAGACTATGACTATTGGATGGCGACACATGTTGGTTTTGCCAAGAGCACATTGGATAAGAAGACGTCTAAATTTATTGTGTGTTATTTATTATTTATATTTTGATAATATTTGTGTTCAATAACCACCTTCTAACTATTTATATCATTTGTAGTGAAAGCTTAAACAATTAGTTTCAAGAAATCCAGAGGCCTTGAAAAACAAAGACGTGAAAGATCAACTTTTGGCCAAGTTTTTTGGTCCAGGGAAATCAGGTCAGATGAGAAAGTACGGTTTCGGTCCACCACCCAATCAAGGTATGCATATGTTATTAAATACTAGTATTTTTTCCCGTACGATGCATGAGATAACATTTCAAAAGTGAAAATATTGATAAATTTAATACATGATAATAAAAAATATACTAAAATTTATTAGTGATATCGGTAACAACATCAACATTTATACAAATTTAAAAAATTACAAACTCATTCAGAAAAAAAAATTATTAAAATTTAATTGTCATAATATAAAATTGATGGTTAAATAAATGAAGCATAAAATAATTAGAGAAAATAGGCTAAAAAATAGGAGATAAAAATAATAATAACAATTAAAAAGATATAGAGGTATTGAATTAGGAATGTGCTAGTGGAGATTTGATGTGAAAGTAATTAGAAAAAAAATGGCTGCAAAATAGTATATATATATATATATATATATATATATATATATATATATATATATATATATATATATATATATATATATATATATATATATATATATATTATTTTACAAATATGCCATTAGAGTTTTTTTTTTTAGGTTACTTAGCGTTTTTTTTTTATATATAAAAATTATTATTTTACTAACTAGTTAGGGTTTATTTGATACTAATTCAATAAATTGTATTCTATCAATTACTTTTATATATATATATATATATTCCAGGGAGTGATTGAAAAAGAAAAGTTAGAGTCATTCAACATACCCCAATACACACCTTCACCTGAAGAAGTGAAAAATGAGGTTGAAAAGGAAGGCTCATTCACCATCAACCGTCTCGAGTCTTCAGAAATCACATGGGCTGCCTGTAGCCCTGGGCCCGAGCCCAATAACAGCGACGCCGGTGAATATCTGGCCCAATGCATGAGATCCGTCACAGAATCGCTATTGGTTAACCATTTCGGTCAACTCGTAATTGACCAATTATTCCAGATATACAGCAAAATCATTTCCCAACACATCTCCGACGAAGATGCCAAATTTTCTAACGTCACTGTTTCATTGACGAGGAGATCGAAACAACCACCATCATCATAAATATATATAATATATTGTATTTTAATTTTTAAGTGAACAAGCCCATGCAGGTGCCTTCTTCTATGCACAGGCAACAGCTACCTAAAAAATATGTTTGTCTTTTCACTTTATCACTATATTATATGTTTGTCAATTTTTAATATGCCTAAAAAGAGAAATCAAATAACAAATGGTTCAGTTACATACAAAAGTTCCAAACTTTTTGAATCTTAATAAAAGAATTCTATACTTATTTGATTAAACATATAGTACAGTTCAAGAATGAAAGTTTACTTACCATTCAAGTTATCCACTAGGTTCACAGTCAGAGCATAGATCTTATACAAAATGCTAAAACATTGATTGAAAAATGAGTATGCAGTCCCCACGTAAGATTTTATAACGCTTTGTTTGCTTGAACTGTAACCAAAAAACGTTTACATTGGAATAAGACAACTGCCAGAACTAACAAGCAGAGATAAAACAGACTGAAAACACTATGGATATTAATATAGGTTTCAAGGGACAAAAATAAGTTGAAAAAAGTTACTCTTGGAGAATAGCACGTCCAAGATTAGTGGCAAGAGTCAATCTCACAGATTACAAGGCCTCAGGTGTCAAGCTCAGACGAATCAAAGTAGCCCTAGAAACGGTAAAATGTTAGTCCTAGAAACGGTAATCAAGCAAATGACGGTTATTCCAGTTCAACAATATCAACTGCGAAAGGATATAATAATCAGAGAATCATGTGTGAGCATTCTACAAATGTTGTAAGAAACAAGGGGGGAAAAAAGAATTAAAGTGAGAACGCAGGCTAACAACAATTGAACGTGTGAATATGTATAGCAAACAGACCCCTGATTAACTTTACTACTATTTTATGATTTTATTGAGAATTAAATCTGGCAGATTTTAATAAAAGAACGATTTCTTACCGAGACAAGTAGCCCAAAATGTTGAGGTGTAGAAGGATTTCTCACGATCTGAAAAAAAAAACCAATAAAATTGTAAACTTTAAGAATGATCGATCACATCTTAGAAACAAACAAACTTAATTATTTATCTGGCAGAAAACAAGAAAATATTCCAAATAATGACCAGGTCCATTTTGTGTAACGAATTTAACCGCTTTTCAATTTCATTAAATTTTTTGAGACGGCGTTGTTTAAACTTATAAAAGCGCGCTTGTCTTTTATTTTAATTCGCGACTTTTTGGCTGAAGAAAGAAAAACGGAGCGCCGTCGTTTTAGAAGGTACTGTATGTCGCCATCATCACTACATGCAGCTCGCTTGCTACAGCTAGCTTTTGGGCCGTTGTCTTCTTGATATAAATAGGGGAGGCAATGACTGAAGAAGGCATGTTTGTACTCAGTACTTGACTGAACTTAGTTAGCTTAGTGTTAAAATTGTTCCTTTGTCCCCAAGTTTGTCATCTGAAGATTGTAAAACCCTATCTTTTGTTTTACTGAATACAATCTTTCAGTTAATTTTTCTCTTATAATACTGGAGTAATTTTTTATATTGAGGAGAGATCTATAACATTTGGTATCTAGAGCAGTCTTTCCTGGACTCTATCTTCGTTCATGATGAAATTAGTTTAGTGGTTGAGTTCAATAAACTTGGCCAAGAAACTAATGTGGAAGAGTATAGGTTGAAATTTGAACAACTCAAGGCATATATTGGGAGAAAACATAGGACTCGGCCAGAGAGCTACTTTGTGGAAGGATTGAAGGGAGAATTCAAGCACACAGTGAAGATGATAGCCCATGCTATCATACAAACTAAGTTGCAAGAGAACATGGTGGATCAATAGCAGGTGGAGATTAAGAGCTTTGTGAGATTAGCCACTCACAACTACAAGACTCCTCAATTTTCAGTCCTAGAACAACCATTGAGGATTTAATATCCAGAAAAAAGAGCCATGTTACCAAAAAGGCTGAATAAACAAGAGTTGGAGGATAGAAGAAGAAAAGGCATGTGCTATACGAAAAACTCACTTAAGGAAACAAGTGCAAGAGAGCCTTCTACGTTGAAATGTATGTTGTTGATGGTACAAAACTTGGACCCTCAGTACCTCCCTTCAAACTCTACTCCTTTTTATTGTCGGAGAGCTCATCAGACGTCGGGCCTAGGGTCGACATTATATTGACAAAATAGTGGACGCAAAATAATAATAACAGAGAAAATTTGAGAAGAGAATGTAAAAAAATGGTATCGATTATGATTTGTAACCCTAATCGAGTTTTACATCCTTGTTTATATAGAGAGAGTTATATATATATGACTATTTCCTATTTTATAAGCTCTTTATTTATCCAATATTTACATCAATTAGGCAATCAACGATCCTAATTTATACACTTTCCTTATTTATTTACCGAGAACTTATTATCCAAAAGCTATCTACGAGCTCGCGATCTACCACATGTTACTCCGCTAGTGAAATCTGATGACCGTTGATGGGCTTTACCCACGTGTATATATCAGCGAACTTCTTATATCATGAGCTTTCTTATGACGAAATCTTTAATCCATCTCGGTATTTGCTATCCATTGTTGACAAGCTTAATTATTATCGCTCATTGGGCCTTGATCCAATAATTTTGGGTAAGAGAAGGTTTGGCCTAATGTTGCCGAACTGACCCCAATCATCTACCCCATATTCTTGCTAGGCTAGCAAGAGAATAGAAAACGAGTAAAATTTAATATTATAGTAATAGTAATCTTATTAATAAAAATAAGGTGACTCTTGGCCCTGGGCAATTTTTTCCGCTCATGTGATGGTTAAATTTTTTACTAAATAAGATTTATTGTTGTACATAATTTATTTAATAATTTTCGTCTATTTAATTCCATTTTAGAGGTTTTGGTTGCCCTAAATTATTGGCAAATTGTGCAGATATTTTAGTTCTCGTGTATATCTTTTCTCAAAAGTTAATAAAATAAAAGAAAAAAAGAAAAGAAAATCGGCAGAAATTGGGAGGAGCAGATTTTCCGCAAGATCTATACATACCCATTAGATTATAATTTAGGGGTAATATGCTATAAGTCTCTCGAACGAAACTTAATTTCAACTAAATGACAAGTTTAAATCCAATCTCTTAATTAAATCCTTAATTTGAAACAATATATGACATACATCCCTAATTATTTTTTTATCCCTAAACTACCCTTATACTTTAAATCTTTTAATCTATATATTCACGTTTCTTCAACCAGATTTATTTCTATTTGTTCATCTCTCTTTCTTTCTCTCTCCTTTTCTCTATCGCTTTCTTTCTCTCTCTCTTTCTCTCTTGATCTCCATATCTCTCCGTACTTTTATTTTTTTTGGGCTCACGAATCAGTTGTGCCCATATGCTGGGAGAAGCAAACAGGGGTGGCGGCAGACGAGAAGGCGGCGGCGGAGTGGGCAGCAACAAATCTTAAGGTGGCGGCTGTGGTGAATCTACGGTGACGGTGGATCTGAAGACGACGACGGAGTGGGTAGTTGTGGCGTGGCGAATCTATGGTGGCGGTGGATCTGAAGGCGGCGATGGTGTGCGTAGCGGAGGCGGCATCGTTTTTTTAAAGGTATGAGTCCAAGTATATAAGTGGTGGTGGATTATGGTGGGGGTGGTTATGGTAATAACGGAGGCGGTGACATCAAATTTAGGATTTAACATGGAGATGACTACGAGTTACTATGGATTAATATGAGTTTATGTGCATGGGTGGCGGCTAGGGTTCAAATAGGGGCTAGGGTTTTCAAAGTGTGTGACTATGAATGACGATGGGTGACTACAGATTACAATGGGTTTCTATGAGTGTCTACAGACTACTATGAATTTATATGGGTGTCTATTGATACTACAGTCGAAAAACATTAAAAAAAAAATCATAATTTTCAATATTTATTTAGAAAAATAAGGTTTTTATAATAGTGAACAAATACTAAAAATGAAAAAAAAATATTTTACGCTAAAAAAAAAGTAATAAGATGGTAGATGTAAAATTGAAAATATTAAATACAAAATAAAAAATGATAAATGTTGTTTTAATATTATTTGGTGCAAGTTTCCTTTTTTTTGTGTGTAAAGGACAGTTTTGGAATGAATTTTATAAGGGTTGTGAAACAAATATTTAGTTGAACTTGTCCTTTAGTTATAATACCAGGACCTATATCTTAAGGATATTTTTCAAAAACCCTGGCTATGTTTGCACCATTTTCCCAAAATAAAAATAAAATATCATTCTTCCCAAACTATTTTTTTCCGGAAAGAAACATTGATTTCTTTCACATTTATCCAACTTTTTTAAATTATTGTTGGAATTTCCGCTGCAAACTTGATGATTTCATCAAGGAACATTTGGTGGCTGATGCGCGAAAAGATTTTAAGACGAATTGCATGAACCTCTTTGATTATGTTCATGCAGCAAGGAACGGTCGTATCGCCTATCGGATACAACAACTCACCCACAAGTAGTGTCTTCAAACCCTTCATGTTTGGGTAATTATAACCACCCCTCAACTATGAATTTTGTTACGTGTCCACCACCATTGTGGTGTTAAATTCAACAAAATCTTCTATATTTCGTGGAATGTTATCTAGTTTGTACTAGTTTTGTATAAAAATGCAGTTTCTGATGAACCACAATATGATATTTACAAGTCAAGAGACACATCTTATAATCGGCTTGTTTCAAAATGTGGAGCTCGAATAGAGTAAAACGGTACAAACTTTAGAATATTCGACATAATCTAAAAAAACTCAGTAAATTTAACACACAAAGATGAACGTGTAAGAAGATTCATAGTTGATGGGTGATTGTAATTACTCAAACATAAGGGATTTTTTCATAATTTGACATCCCCTCAAAGGAGTGGCCGTAATTTACTCATAATTTATTTTGAATATCAACTTTTATTCAAAAAGAACTTAATAGTGTTAAGTGTATATTTTTACACTTTATCGTACCTTTTTATTTGAGCTTTTGGTGTGTTTTAACGATAATTGGTGCTTAAAAAGTTGATTTATTGT